CAGTCTACTGAGATCAGTTTCGTGCCAGCTTTATGCTGTGCATCTGTGGAAAAGACCCCCCAACCCCGTGCAGGGTCCTAGGGTCAAGCGTTTGGACTCAGGACCCCAGGGACTTCGGGCCCAGCCTGTATCAACTCCTCTGTGCGTCCCCTGTAACATCCCTGCTACAGGTATTGACCTCATGGGGCTGTGCTGATGGAAAGAATAGTAACAGCTGACCCACAGCATTTATCATGTGCGGGACAGCATTTGAAATGCTTTAGCCACACATGGGTTACAGCGTTAATCCGTGAAAAGAGTTTGGAGCCGCCCCCAGCACGAGTCCAACCCCAGACAGAAGAGCAACCCAATGAGGTCTGTGACTCCGTGTTTCCCCTCAGTCCTTGGGTGCTCTCAGAGGCAAATTCGATATGAAAATGTAGGAATCCGAAGATTGTGGACACTGGACTATATAGCGTTCCATCTCTTAAGATCTTTTCATTTTTAAAATCATTTACTTATTTATTTTTTTCTCTGTTCCTGCCCGCCTCTCTCTGGTGGGCCAGTTCTTCTCAAAAGCAAGCAACGGCCCCTGTGGAGGGCCGGCCGGGGACACGCTGTCTCTCGAGGTCCATTGCTGACGCAGCCGAGAGCTGTGTGCTGGGGGCACCTCGCTCTGTGCCCAGCCTCCCTCGTTTGTCTCCCCCCATCCCCCACCCCCCACAACCACCGTTTCACAGCTTGATTCTCTGAGTGTGACTTAGGTAGCTCTCATGAATGGAATCGCCTAATATTCGTCTTTCTGTGGCTGGCTCATGGCACTCAGCACACTGTCCTCAAGGTGAACCCAGGTTGTCATGTGTTGGAGAACTTCCTCCTTTGGAGGTAGAACAGCATTCTTTGTGCCTACACACCCCGTGTTCCCGATCCGCTCGTCCATCAGCGGACCTGTGGGCTGGTCTGCACCTCGACCCTTGTGAGTAGTAAGTGCTGCGGTGAGCAAAGGAGGACCGATGTCTCGCCGAGACCCCGATTCCAGTTTCAGATGGATGTGTGTAAGGAGGACGGCTGGGTTGTATGGTCACTCGTTTCTTAAAGCCTTCCGCGGGCCGCTCACACTGCTTGCCCCGCAGCTGCGCCGTTTCGCACTCCCACCCCCGGTGCCGCGGGGGGCTCCGGTGTCTCCGCCTCCTGCCTCGCCAGCGCCTGCTGCCGTTTGTTTGGTTGGGGTGGCCGCCCGCCCCGACAGGTGTGAGGTGATAGCTCACCGTGGTGCGATTTGCATAATAACTTTTGTTCGTTCTTAAAAGTGTCTGAGGGAAATATGGGGAACCACGCTTATTGGCAAAAAGAAATTCATGTCCCAAACGGAAAGACAGAGCCCCTTCCTATTTGCCAAATGACTATGCGTTTAGCGAGCATCTGACGAATCGCTGTAGGGTTTCCACAGAAACCGCTAGAAGACACCTGTAGGGACATCTGAGCATGCAGCATTTAAAGGATGCCCTTGTGTGGGTGCACTTCAGAAGCAACAAACCGAGTGTCCAAATCCTCACGCGCTGGCGGAGCCGAGAGCACGTGACTGTCCCCACCAGGCCGGGCTCGGTGCAGGGGGCGCCCCACACCGCCTGGGGGAAGTCCCCCGATGACGTGGCGCGCCCCGGGGTGCACCGAGGGGGCAGACTCCGCAGCGTGCGTCTTTTTCTCTCGCCACTCCCGCGCGGAGGGCGGGCTTGTGGTGAGACTCTTACACACGTCCGTCCGGCTCCCTGAGTCATGTTAAGGTTTCGTTTTCTTAAAGCGGTGCCCAATAGACGGCCCTGAAAAATCTTCTTCTCCAGGAATTTCCTCCGTTTCTTAGGTTTTTCTATACACATCCTGGTTGTGTCTCCCGCCTGTGCCACCAGGTGGACTGATAAGCTCCCAGAATGGGGGCCCCACAAGGATGCCCTCTTTCGCTGTTGAGATGTCCAAGAGCAAAAACCCAGGGAAATGACTGGAACGTGAGAACGGAGCGCCTCGGGCCCCTTCGTCCGATACCTGCTGACTGCCGACCTCGAGTCCAGCGTGCGGACCCGTGGGCGGCCCTCCCCCCGCCCCTGGGCTGGGGTCCCCTTACATTCGTTATAACAACTATTTGAAATGATCCACAGCACAGTTCCGTTCTGTCTCCCTCAGAAGCTAAAACAAAACACAATGGGAAAAAAGATGATTTTTTTTTTATCATCCCAAAGGCGCAACTTGTGAAATTCAGGTCCGATGGTCTGATGATACGGTGGATGCGGGGGTGGGGAAGCTGGATGCGCTGGGTTAGGTCTGGTGGTTACACCCTGAAAACAAAGCAGCTCCCTCCCCCCCTACAAAGGGCCCCGCTCTGAGCGCGTGCTGGCACACAGCTCTGGGAAGCTCTTGGCAGCGCAGGTGAGCACCCCGCCCTCTCCCCCTCCCTGGGTCGGATGGGGGTCTGGCCCTAACACCACAGGAAAACCGTGGTGACCCGTGTCTGCAGCGCGTGGCCACAGATACGGAAATTAAGCTGTTGCAAATGAAGAAAATGCACGACATGGTCTGAAGGGTCCACAGTTCCCAGATCCCCCTATTTCTGGGCATCCATTCTCTACGCCTCTTCGACCTGTCACGTGTTCGATGGTTACCTGTCATGCTGCAGAAGAAGGAACAGAGGCCACCTGGCACACAGCAGGCACGCGACAACAATGGCCCACCTGGGCGCGTGAGTGGCCCTGAGCAGGGCTCACCCTGGACGCGAGAGCCGTTAACGTGAGTTACGCTCACCACCGGCTGCGTGTCGTCTCTTTCCTAAAGAACCAGATCCCTTTGGCCCTCCGCCCTGGTAACTCCCCTCCTTGAGACGAACAGACCAACACACACACACTCCGCTCCCCGGATGGAATTTTCCAAAGGCCAGGAAACTAAGGCTCAAGCGAAGACACTCCGTGTTTTGATACCAGGATGGGTCTTTGAGAGATCAGCGTTCGAAGCCAGGAAAAACTGCATCAGGAGGAAGCAGCGCCTGTGTGGGCAGCGCTGGAAATGTGGAGGGCCTGCACCATGGGAACTCGGGCGGTTGTTATGTTTAGGTTTCCGTCGTGTTGGTTCAGCTGTGAGCGCGCCACGGGGCAGGGCGGTGTGTTTCCAGGCCCGCGGTCAGGCCTTGGTCCTGGGCGGCCCCGGCGGTGATCCCCGTCCACAGACCGGAGCTAACTGCTCCTCCTCCGTGGTCAGCCCGCAGCCCCGGGCGCATGAGCACAAGTGATGCTGAGGACAAACCTGTGTTTGTCAAGGTCCCAGGTGCCGAAGGAATCCCCTCTGAAGCTGTGCAGCCCCGGGCGGCCCCTCCTGCCCACACCCCTGCCCTGCCCTTCGGGTCTGGAATGACCTTCATCGCACCTCAGCTCCGTGCCACCCACAGAGCGCCCCGCTGCCCTGGATGGCTGTGGCCTCCTCAGGCTTGAAGGTCAAGTCCGTCCACGCCAGGACTGTCGTCCCATGATTCTGCGAGGAGGCTGCAGAGCTTCCTCAAACAAAGTGTGGAGGAGATCCCCCCCACACTCAGGCCTTCGACTTGGGGATGGAAATCCAAAATCCGGTGGAGACTCGTGGTTCCCCGGAAAAGGAACAATCACGTGTAGGGTAGAGTTCGAGAGGCAATACCTAGAAATCCGCCTTAGGAGATGTGGCCCAGATCAAGGCCCCTCTGTTGCAATAAGCCTGGGCGAACCATCGAAGAAGGTTTAGACGTATTTTTCTGTTTCCTGGGTAAGCCGGACTTTCTATTGGGAGTTTTCTTATGAGACAGGGTTTTACCATGTCCTATAACTTTCCGATCTCAAAAAAAATAAAAAAAAAATTCCCTTTTTCCTTTTTGCAGAAAGGCAGGTTTGCCTTTCTCCTGACGGCTGCGGCTGCCTTGTTAATAGCGGCCCTGCGAACTGTGCCCCAGGGACCCGGTGGCTGAGCCCTTCCTGGCCCCCCGCCCACCCCTGCGGCGCACTGCACACCCCAGCTCAGGGTGCGGGAGTGCGCTCTCGGCAGCCTCCCAGGACACGCCCCCCACCACCCCCGCCTCTGCCCACCTGCTGGCACCCGAGCTTGGGACCTCGTGAGTCTCCCCAAGTCCCCTAACGGCAGACGGGCTTGGAACTGGGATGGGAAATTCCACACGAGGATCTCGCCCTCAGGTTTTGAAAAAGAGGAACCCCGTTGCAGGATAAGCCTCGCTGGGCGCGCCCGGGGTCGCCTCCCGGCATCTGGGTGCGTGGCCTGTTGACTGTCACGCAGGGAGAACAAACGGCCGTTCGCCGTTCTCTGCACGTGTTTCCAATCAGCCGTCGCAGATGGAGTTTTGACATGACAGTTTCAGGAGGAGCTGGCTGAGGAAATAGAAGCCAGGTGGCGGCTTGGCTCCCCACGTGCCTGCTCTGCGCTGGGACCGAGCCTGGCCACTGTCATCGTCAGCTTGGGCAGCCAATAACAAAATCCCGTAGACCAAGGGGCTCACACAGCAGGCATTTGTTTCTCACAGTTCCGGAGACCGGGAGTGCAAGGCCAAGGTGCCGGCTGGGTGGCGTCGGGCCAGGGCCCTCTCCTCCAGTTGTGGAGGGCTGGTTCTCGCTGTGTCCTCGCAGGGCGGTTGGAGATGGCTCTCGGGTCACTTCCCCTTCTTACCAGGGCACACAAATCCAGTATGTTGGCCTCACCCTCCCGACTTCATCTAAACTTTTACCTCCAAAGAGCCCCCTCTGCAAACGCCATCACGTCGGGGATGAGGACTCCCACGCACGGACTTTGGGGGGACACGGGCTTTGGGGGGACACGCACTCAGTCCCTAATGGGCACCGTGTTTGCCTCCTCTCTCTTCCCTCTCCTGCCTCCTCCCTCCGTCTCCTCCGCCTTGCCTTCCTCTCGCCTTCCTTGCCTCTCTCTCCAGATCACCGCAAGACCAGGGAGGCACGCTTTCCAGTTGCCACAGTAATAGGGGACTGTATCTTTTCCTCCACCAGAAACTCCCCCGATGAATGCAGCGTGGCCAAAGGCGGGAAGATGGTGGGCAGCCCGGACTCGGTCGGGATGAGCTACGGCAGCTACATGGAGGAGAAGCACCTGCCGCCCCCCAACATGACCACGAACGAGCGCCGAGTCATCGTCCCGGCAGGTCAGGTGCCTGCGGGAGGCGTCCCCGGGCGGTCCCTTCCCGCCTGTGGCTTCCGCCCCCCTCCGTGGTCCAGAGCGGTGGTTGTGCGTGGGAGCCAGCAGGAGTGGGTGCACGTGTGGGGAGGTGTTCACTGGTGTGGGCGTGTGTGTGCACGCGCGTGTGTGTGTGTGTGTGTGTGAGAGAGAGAGAGGATGCCCACGGAAATGCCCTAGAGGCAGGAAGTTCCCTTCCTCTGAGATCATTAGGTGCCAAGTGTCTTTTCTTTTATGAAATGCTATTCATAATAGACGATGGCCTTGTTGGTTTTTCCTAAAAAATTTTTTTCCTTATCTGGGAAAATAACAAGTTGGGAACCGTCCACTGCTTGTTCTTAGACTCCAACATTCCAGCCGTCCCTGGTCTGGAGCGCCGATTCCGAGAACCAGACTGTGGTTCACCCCAGAATTAATCCTAAACCCAGCCCAGAGCAGGGGCTCGGAGGGAAATAGCAGGTCTGTATGCACTTGGCAAAACTCGAGGTGATCAGAAGACGGACTTAGAGCTCCTGAGAGGAGATGCGTGGCGTGAATCTGAAACACCACGACGGTGAGCCTGGCTCGGAGTTGGGCGTCTCAGGCCGAGATTCGGAGACATGGTCTCACGCGGTCCTGAGACACAGGTGGGCTCATCCCGGTGTTCCCAGAGGGAAAGGGAGATCTTCGAGGTCAACTAGCTTTTCCAGGGGCAGACAGCTGATTAGAGGCCAAGTTAGAGTTTGAAGAGATCTACCCGAACCCTTCATTCTCTCTCGGGGTGGTGGATTACACCTCAGCTCCCAACAGGAGCCCCCATGGGTCCCTCCCATTGCTCATTCCGGCCATCTGGTCACCCTGCCGTTCCGCCCAGGGGCCTGCATGCCCCGATCCCAGGTGGTCCCCTCCTGCTCTGGGCACTGTGCGAACACCTCTGCAGGGCGGCCCTTCCCGACCACCCCCGTCCAGAGTCGCTCCCCACTGCACCCAGTGACTCCCCCTCCCCCACCCGCCCCATCTTTCTTTACTGCACCCCTCCTGTCTTTCAGTAGAGTGCACCTTCATGTGAACGCTCGCCGATCATCGCCCTGCCTCCATGGAGGGCGTGCCCCACAAAGGCCTCGCCTGTGGCTGAAGGCTAGGTGCAGGGCCTGGCAGGGAGTGGGTGCCCCGTGAACACTGACAGAGGGAGGGGTGATGGGGTGAAGCCTAGCCACTGGGCTGCGTGCACAGGTCATCCCTTGTGGCCATGGTCATAAAAGGCATGCGTGGGCGACGTGTGTGTGAACTTGACGGTCCCTTCCCCCGCGGGGAAAGTGAGGGCAGACAGCTTCAAATCCTCTCTGTGGCATGACTCCTCCCTCTTATGCTGCCATCGGCTCCCATCCAGCGGGATTCTGTCACCTTCCGAACAGGAGGGCTGAGAGGGCAGCGCCCTGGGCACAGCACCTGACTCAGATTCTCGGCCTGGGCTTCTCTGCAGGGCCGTCACGCTGCAGCCGTCAGCAAACTGTGTGATGCTGGTTCAACACAGCCGGGCATGAGGAGGCTCAGCCTCTGCGGCCACCCCTGATCTTGGAGCACCCTGTAGGGCTTTCGCAGGACACCGCGGGGATAGAGTCTCACGTGTGCCTTGTGTGAGGGACGAAACCGGTTTTGGTGTTCAACACTTTTCCAGGAGCCACATGTTTATTTAGTTTGATGGTGGCAACTGGGATACGCACCCAAGATGTGTCCCTTGTCACTGTGCTGAGAGCAGGAGGCATTTCCTGTCGAATGAGGGAAGGTGCAGAAATGAAAGGTCCGAGGTACCTATCCTGGGTGCGTGGCACCTCAACGAGGCTTGAGATCAGGGATGTGCCTGGGGACACAGCGGGGGGAGACTGGCCAGGTGTACACAGGATGCAGTAGAAACCCAGAAAACGCCCACCCAAGCCCACTCACCCTTTGCTGTCCCCCTGAAGGATTACGTCATTTCTTCAATTTAGGCAAAGCGAAGTGTTTAGTTTTCTAAGATGAGAGAATCGGCTTGCCGAGAGGCCTGCATTGGAAATTCTTGTCTTGGTTCCTCAGGGAATCAGAGACCCACGAGGTAATGCCTGGTGCCACTTACATCCTTTAACCAGTGAGATCATAATTCCGTCACGCCATCAGTATGTTTTGATGTCACCGATGTCCTTTCCAACAGGGCCAGGCTTGAGGCTTTCTGTGCTAAGTAAAATGTTTGGAAAACAGGAGAGAGATTCACACGGGGAAGTGGCAAAGGGCCAAGTCAGGCGAGTCCGAGCCTCCAGCATTTCGGATCCGTGGGAGGTGCTCTCGTGCGGCGCCTGCTGGGCGGGGGCGGGCTGGCCGCGCAGATTGGCTCACGGCCGCGTTTGTGCAAAGCCGGGTTTCAGCTCCTGCAGAAAGTCCTCTTTCCGCGGCTCCCGCCTCGGGTTGCCTCACACAAAGCGCAGGCAGTTATTCAGTTGGTAGCGTTTGTAAGAGTCCATTGTGGCTGATTTTGCAAGTTGTGTCTTTCAGTTATTGGTCAAGCTTCATGCGCGTGTGCGCATACACAGACACACAGATGAACACATGTGCATGCCCACACACACACACGGCCGCGTTGCACAATCTGGATCGTCCCCCAGCATGGCCGCGAGGCTGCAGGACCTGGGGCGGCCGCCTCGGCTGCTGCACCCGCGCCCTCGCTCCAGGACCCAGGCCTCCCTCGGGCGCATTTTGGGCACGGGGTGCTCTGCATACAGAGAGAGGGTTCTGCAGACCTGGTTCCAAACGGTTCATGTAGTTTCTACTAGTTAGAGGCCTTGGTTAATGCTCAGGAGTACTCATCATAAAGACAGCTGAAAAAGTTATTATTTCTAAGTATTTGTAGCAGCAATCAACTACCCACCGGCGTTCATATTCTAGACCTAAAAGCGGCTCCAGTGCACACTGGCCAGAGGGTCGGTGGTTAGGGTGAGAGGTGAGAGGTGAGAGGTGAGAAGGCAGGACCTGGGGCGTTGTCTGTGCTCAGATGGGGCTCTTGAACTTGGACTCCTCACTTCTCAAAGTCTCTACTGTTGTCACTATCTTTAACTCCAGAGCTGCAGAGAAACTCATAAAATATCTCTTATGAGTAAATATATATTCCGGAATCTAATATATTTACTCTGCCTCCTTATTGCAGAATGGATTTTAGAAAGTTCACACAAATATGCACAAAAGAGCAAGCCAGAGCCAACTTAAAACAGAAATGGATGGGGACCGTGGACTAAAGTAAGAACAGAGACAATGGAACCAGGAGGGAGGTTTTATGTATATGTATAAATGCAAACTTTTAAATCTTGCACGATTGCAAAAATTGGGTGTTGTTTGGCTCCAAGGTGTCAGTGGGCAGTGCGAAGGGGACCCATGACTCGGTGTCCCACAGGACAAGAGAAAACCAATGTGGGGAAGGCAGCCCGGCTGTGGACCCTAAGTCAAGAGAAACATGTGTTCCTTGAGTTGCTGTAGTAAGATTACAGGGGGGTCATGAGAAAGGCACTTATCAGTGGGGCCATCAGGCATTCTGGGAGGCGCTGGCTTATGCCCCTTGTCTTGGCAAAATTGTTGGATGGTGCCTCTCCCTCTCAAAGTGTACTGGTTAGACAATAAATCACATCTGTACTTTTAATCTTTCTTTGTCTTATCTATCTATCTATACCAGGGGTGTCAAACTCATTTTCACCGGGGGCCACATCAGCCTTGTGGTTGCCTTCAGAGGGCCAAAATAATTTTAGGACTGTGTACATGTAAGTCCTCCTTAACTGTTAAGGAGTTCAAATTACATTCAGTCCTTTGAAAGCAACCACGAGGCTGGTGTGGCCCCCGGTGATAGTGAGTTTGACACCCCTGGTCTATACCGTCTACCGTCTGTCTATCTGTCCATCCTTCCCATCCATTTGTCATCTCTCTGGTGTGCACGTCCGTATGTCTAGGTCTGCATCTCACGGGGTTGGCTCTTTCTTACACAGCTGTACATCGGTGTCATTCAGTGACATTGGTCTTAATCACAGGGACCCGAGACCTATGACCTAGTTAAGCGGCTCTGTGTTGGCTCAGCTTAATGCGGAGCCTGAGTAGGACACGTTTCTCCAGTACGATCAGGTCTGTTGCTGTCAGGAGCACCCGGGGGACCTAGGATCTAAACGTGCACACTCCCAGACTGGCTGCACTCGGTGTGAAGGGGTGGGCTCTGCGTCATTGACATACTCTTTGGTAGTTCTCGTGCGTCATAAGGTGTGAGAAGCTCTAATCTGGCGAGAAGACACTAAATAAATTCTACTTAACATATGTTCATTATTCCGAATAAAGGTAGGCTATGTCCCTTTTAGAAGACAGAATGGTCCAAGGAAGAATAGGACATAACAGCTTCCCATCGATGTTCGAAGAAGAGGGAGAAGAATCATCATCATCATCGGCCATTTGGTAGGAAGGAACTTGGTCTTCCTAAAGCTCCTCCCTGAAGATGTGTTTTGGGGCTTGTCCTGGGCTGGCACAGTAAATTTGGTGGAGGCCGTGGGTCAAGGCGTTCACGGGGCCATCCGGGACCGTCGAAGACACGGAGTGAACGCAGTACGAGAGCCGAGAAAGCACCTCCACTGCGTCCCTGGGCGCCGGCGCTGAGCTCCCCTCGGGCCCCTCGGGGCGAGCGCACGACCAGGCCCGAGGGCATTTGGCTGTGTCCTCACCCACGGCCGAGCTGACGTGGGTGCAAGGCTGGAATCTGACATCCAGGTGTTCCCAGCCCTGCCTCGCCAAGGCTGCGGGATGGGTCCGTGTTTAGAAACGGCGGGTCCCCGCATTACACGACAGCACCAGCATGCTCTCAGGGATGTAAGCCTCGTGTCTCGTGAAGCGCCTGCCGTCGGCAGTGCTGCCCCTGCGTGTGCCGGGCGGGCCTCGGGCAGCCGCTGCCGCCTCCCCGGCAAGGACGGCGTGCTTGGCGATGTGCTAACCGGT